AAGCTCCCGGGCTCCTCCACCGCCGGACCGGCGCTGCTGGGCCCCAGTCTCCTCCACTGCCAGACCAGCGCTGCTGGGCCCCAGCCTCCTCCACTGTCAGACAAGCGCTGCTGGGCCCCAGCCTCCTCCATCTGAGGCAGAGCGGGAGGGTGGCCAAGTTGCCGCACCATGGGCCTCTGGGTTGTACTTGCCCCCTGGGCTAAAAGTTGCCAGTCAGCCCCTGGGCCGTACCCCCTGATGTCGGCCCCGATGGGAGGTAAAGGCTGTATTAACTTGACACAGGCTTTTATCACTGCCATTGTCTTAAAGAAAAACTTTACCCTTATCTTAAAAATTAAAACAAAGGCACCTTTAGAAAACGTTTCGTAATGACAATCTACAGATACTTATAGTGCAGGCTTTTTATTCTTTTCGTGCCTTATATTTCTTTTCCTCCCCATTCTTCTCACAGTGGCCTTTTTTACTAAAGCCAGATTAATCCATCTCCCTCTACTTCCTGGAACTCTGGCACATGTGACTAGGACATGTGATCATGTACATCATTTCAGGGTTAAACAACGTCTTTCCCTGAGATCTTGTGAGAGTTTGCAGTTAACAGTTAACAATGCACTGCAAACGTAACCTTACGTAACCTTCCCAGGATGCATCTCTTAGGCACAGGCTACATTACTAATGCCTACGAAAACCAGGAAGTGGAAAACCAGTAATTGTAAGTAAAGGAGAAATATGTTTATTTAACTAATGAATGTGAGATGATTTCATATCAGCATAAAGACCTGCACACTGATAGGATTTTTAGTGATGGGGAAAGGTCCACTTTAAAGTGATGAGGAATGTCCTTCTAGATAAGGCCAATACACAGACAGATTAAGGTGTTTTTTTAAGCTACCCACTTTTCGCAGGTAGCTTCAAATTGGTGTTCTATATATATTTTTTTAGAATTTCACCTTGCAGCGCTACAAGATTAGATTAGAGGGCAAGTGTAGCCAAATTGCAGCAAACAAAGTTGCTGCAATTGCTTTGTGTTAATCCACTGATGACCTGCTAGCAATTAAAGAATTTCTCAAATTAAAAAAATGGCCTATAAATAAAGACTTTAGCTCTTTGAGGACTTATGGGTGTAAGCTGTCTGGTCCAGGTGCGTAAAATATATGTTGTTAATGATTTGTGCACCATGGCAGCAAAGTAAATGTATACTGGATCGCAGGTAATCTGATATAAACGTACACGGTAATTTCATTTTTTTCCCTTCATTGCAAGATGGAGAAAAAAACTGGACGCACATGAATGTCACAACAGTAACATCCATTCCGATCACCAGGGGATCCATACACGGATCCCTTCCTAAACGCACCGTGTGAAAGGGGTCTTAGTGTTGTGTCTGCTGTGTTGGTTCTATTTTCTTGCACTTTATTTTAATGTCTGTTGTGCTCAGGATTTAACACAAAGTGTTTTTTATTTTCTAGACATTCCTCGTGAGGAGATCCAACATTCGGCAGCAGTTGGTCCTATGTGTGCGACTATCAGATGACTGTGGACCAAGTTTCATTCATCAGGCATACATACATGAGGGATCATCAGGTGATTTAACAAACTGGCCACATGATACTAGACGAGGTGCAGGGTACTGTAGGTCGCCCATGTTCGGTTAAGGTGGATAGGTCAATTAAATTGTTTCATTTTACTGGGTGTGTGCTTATAGACTTGTACAGTAGCAATATGCAACTGTTTCCTTAGCCTTCTTGCAATTGTTTATTGCAGCTTGTCTGTTTTCATAAAGTGCAAAAATGCTTCGCTAGGAAAGTTATTCCCACTGGTCAGAATCACCCCACTTGGATCCCTTTGGGTTAATTACTTGGGAGCAGTTACAAAGTGCAGTTTCTCAACCTTTTCATAGCCATGGCAAAATCTTGAGGCACTCCAGTGAAAAATTTAATTGATTTTAAGGGGGACCCCACAGAAAAACACAAAAAATGGGGTTTCCCCCTTCATATCAACATTCCCCCTTCAAATCAAGATACCCCCCTTCACATCAGACTCACCCTTTGCATCAGTAGCCCCCTTTCACATCAGAGTTCCCACCTTACCTCAGAAGCCCCCTTCACCTCAGTCTTTATTCCCCCCTTCACATCACAGTGCCACTACCACAATATTTTAACCCACCCCTGGGGAAGCCAGAAGGCACATTAGGTGCCTCACCCTGGTTGAGAAAGGGTCTGGAGAGCTCATAGCTGGTTGGATTTTTGTATCAATTTCCCTTTTGGTAAGATTTACCCTCACCTCTTGCACTGGCGACAACCATAACATTTTCGATCTTTTGGTATGTTGATAGTGGTTATCAGGTGAATCTACATAGAGGGAAATCAGACAGGAATAGAACACCTGTCAAGGTTTTATTGTTATGTGCTCTATCCAAAACTAAACGTTTGGCTGCACATACACTTTAGCTCTTAAGCTGTGCCTGCATTTGGGCAAATCAATACTGTCATTAGTCTCCTATCTACACATTTGCATCCTCATATCTTTTGGAGAACGCGTGCCAAGCCATTCATTTATTCATGCTGCCTTCAGTCTATAAACATGTCCATCCCATAGGAGAAGTGTTGCTCTTATGTACTCATTTAAAATTATTCTGTCAGGTTACAAAGAAAAAAAAACGATCAATAGTCTTTCCTATAGAAGAGCTTTTATACTCACCTCTCTGGTGGCCCATATCGCCTGTCTCCTACCTTGCCTCTGTCTAAATGCGTCAGCTTCCGGAAGACTCTTTAGTAGACATGTAAGCTGGCAAAAAAATTGTTTCAGTTTGTTTTTTTGTGATTCGGGTCAGAAGGTCAATTCGTTTCGGTATCTGAATTTGGACGAATACGAATTTTTCTTAATTACGGATGAGTTAAACTATATTTACAAACGAAACTTAGTTGCAGTGACATAAAAAAAATGACGGAGGGCCATCCACGCTGTTGTTTTTTTAAAAAGTTTAACAACATAAATTCATTCCGAATGACATTCTGAAAAAATTTCGGATGCATCCAAATTTTCGTTACCAAAAATTCGGATACGTTCGGATTCATTATTTCTTTTATTTGGAAATTTGGATGCATCCGAATGTCCGTATATGCAGGAATTCATCCGAATTTCAATTTGGAAGGAAAAGAATCACACATATCTGCTCTTTAGCATTTGACACTTCCGGGAGTGTGGGATGCTTGTGTCCCCTGCCACTATGGGACACCTCAGGGGTCAGAGGATGTAATTATGGCACACAACAGGGGTCATGGGCATTTGACACTCCCGGAAATGTTGGATGCTGCTGAAACTTGCAAAGGCAACAACACTGGAACAGAGGGGAGATTATGAGACATTGGCCACCGAAGAAGTGAATATTAAAGCTCTTCTATTGCAGGGATTTTGTAGCGGTTTTTCTTTTGTAACATGACAGGGTCACTTTAAGGGCCACTATTTTGCCTTGTAAGCTGGATAGTGTACAAACCCCAAAGCATCAACACATCACTTTATAATCTTTGCTGCTTCTCTTGATCTTTTGAAAACAACTGCATAATTAAATATTAATTTCAGCCATTAGTTGACTGCTGTTTACGTGAATGGCTGTGGTCAAAGCAGAGAAGCAAGTCTGCAGTTTACAGCATTCTCATTGAGATTTATTATCCACATTATGGTCACACTGAAAGTGCCTGTTTGTTTGTAAGTCCTAAATGCCAAAGAAATTACTGCTTAAAGGGAAGACATCAGGTTTTTTTTTCTTTCTATTGTACTATTATTGTACTATTGTTGTAAAGTTTACATGAGAGTCCTTCATATTGTAACAAGGACACTCCACTGAAGACCGGAGGTGCAAGTACAATGCAGTTTATTTGCTTTCAAAACGAAAGATAACACGAAATCCAACATAAATAGCTTGCTGTAGCATAACAGATAGGGGCTCACCAATCCTCGAGTTGTCACGTACACTCAAGGTGTCCCAGTCTTTTAACAAGTCTCTCTCGCAGCACTGCTGCTCCGGCCTCAATCTTTAGGGCCACTGTCTGGTTCCTCCAGACAACGGCAATAACATGCCAATCCTCTCAATATGGTTCACAAACCCGCAGCTCCCTGCTGCACTGGCCTCCACACTGACTCCGGGGTGGAGCTCTCCTGACTCACAGGTGGGGCCCTGAACACATCCCAGCACACACTTCATGAGGGATGTAAACAGGTGCACAATCAGGTGCTGGTCACCACCAAAGCATGGACCCAGGAATGGAGATTTCTTCCCACCCAGAGCTCTAAGAAATCTCCTGGCTCCAGGATCCCAACCATGATCCAGAAAACACAGAAAGAACTGAAAAGGCAGTTCTCTCCTGGTACCAGTAATGTCTTCCTGGAGCCACTCAGCCCCTCTGGCTGAGAACCCTGGGTGACTTTGAGGCCACCTAACACCGTGGTATTGCCTCACAATGCCACAATATGTTTCTTGCTTGGTATGACATACATTTTGCATAATAGTTCACGGAAATGTAGATACTGACTATATTTTTTCAGCCAATGAAATCAGCAGGTTCGTTGAGCGAGAATAAATAATATGATAAGCCACCAAGACACTGCATTAGGTTCAGTGTATTATAATTGATCTGGAATGACTTATATAAATTCTTTGCATCATTGACAGGGAACTTTAGCCTCTTAAGTCATTTGCAAATGTCCTAATTTCATGGATTCTTACCCCACAGGCTGCTCACCCATGACATGCTAATGTACACAATGATCTCCATTATCTTCTTGTTTGCTTCAAGATGCTGATGGTGCTAATCCTGCTAGCTGATATAAAATTGTAATTTATGCTATTGCTTTACCAAAGCACACTGTTACTCCATAATATTTATATCTGGACACTCTTCTTTCTTTTACTTACTTTAAGGGCTTGTTCACACCAATTGAGGAGCGTTCCTGAGCGGTAGCTGCTGAAACGCACCGCAATCACTCACAAAACTTACCGTTGCGTGGGAGGGGGATTGGTGGTGCATTGAAGTCAATGGCACTGCTTCCATGCCCCCCCAACCGCACTGCAATTGGACACGTAGCAAAACATTGCCTGCATTGGTTCCACTGCATATGCAAAAAATGCTGCTTGCTCTGTTTTTTGCGTTTGCAGTGGAACGGAACGCAGGCAATGTCTTGCCACATGTCCAATCACACTGCGGGTGGGGGGGTGTGGAAGCGGTGCCATTTACTTCAATGCACCACCATGACCCCTCCCACACCAGAACGCAGGGCGAAGTTTTGTGAGCGATTGCTGTGCGTTCCAGCAGCTACCGCTCTGGAACGCACCGCAATTGGTGTGAACAAGCACTAAAGGAAACAATAAAATTACTAGTCACATTCTAGGAAATCTCTGCTGTTCACTAGTTGTGGTAACAATGAGTGTGGTCTGGCAAACTATTTATAGGTATATACAGTGAGGAAAATAATTATTTTATTCTCTGCAGATTTTGTAAGTTTGCCCACTTATAAAGAAATGAAAGGTCTCAAATTTTTATCATAGGTGTATTTTAAATGATAGAGACAGAATATCAACCAAAAATCCAGAAAAAACACGCTTTACAAATGTTATAAATTGAGTTGCAGTTCAGCGAGTAAAATAAGTATTTGATCCCCCAAGCAAGACATGACTTAGTACTTGGTGGAGATACCCTTGTTGGCAATCACAGAGGTAAGACGTTTTGTTCCACTCCCTCCATACATTTTCTATAGGATTAAGGTCTGGAGACTGGCTATGACCTTAATGTGCTTCTTCTTGAGCCATTGCTTTGTTGCCTTGGTGGTATGTTTTGGGTCATTGTCATGCTGAAAGACCCATCCACGACCCATTTTCAGTGTTCTGGCTGAGGGAAGGAGGTTCTCATCCAAGATTTTACAATACATGGCCCATGCATTGGCCCCTTAATGCAACAAGGTCGGCCTGTACCTTTAGCAGAGAAACAGCCCCAAAGCATAATGTTTCCACCTCCGTGCTTGACTCCGTGCTTGACTGTAGGGATGGTGTTCTTAGGGTCATAGTCAGCATTTTTCTTCCTCCAAACACGGCGAGTCAAGTTAATGCCAAAAAGCTCAATTTTGGTCTCATCTGACCGCAGCACTTTCTCCCAATCCTTCTCTGAATCATTTAGATGTTCATTGGCAAACTTCAGACAGGCCTGCACATGTGCCTTCCTGAGGAGGGGGACCTTGCAGGCGCTGCAGGATCTCAACATGGCAGGGTGTATTGTGTTACCAATAGTTTGTTTGGTGACTGTGGTCCTAACTGCCTTGACATCATTCACAAGCTTCTCCCGTGTAGTTCTGGGCTGATCCCTCACTTTTCTTATGATCATCCTTACCCCATGAGGTGAAATCTTGCATGGAACTCCAGACCGAGGGCGATTGAGGGTTATTTTGTATTCCTTCCATTTGCGAATAATCGCTCCAACAGTTGTTTCCTTCTCACCAAGCTTCTTGCCGATAGTCTTGTAGCCCATTCCAGCCTAGTGCAGGTCTACAATCCTGTCCCTAACGTCCTTTGGCATCTCTTTGGTCTTGCCCATGGTGGTGAGGCTTGGATGGAAGAAAGAGATTCTGTGGACAGGTGTCTTTTATATACATAACGAGTTGTTGCTAGGAGCACCATCTAAAGGTGCCCACACACCTTGCGATTATCGTACGATAGTCGCGGGAAATCCCACGATCGTACGATATTCGCAAAGGTGTGTGGAAGGCGTGCGACCGTTTCTACTGTTGCACGACTTTTGTCTTACGAACATGTTTTAAAACCAGCCGAGAATCGTACGATTTTCGGCTGGTTTGTGGCATGCTTGTAAGATAATTGCTGCATGGGCCGGTGTGCGCAAGCAAGTCTTGCGATGGTTGTAAGGTGTATGGGCACCTTTAAATTGACAGGACTAATCTGTGTACCGCATAGCAAGTCTGTGGGAGCCAGAAGTATTGTTGGTTGGTAGAGGATCAAATATTCATTTTACTCACTGAACTGCAACTGAATTTATAACATTTGTATTGTGTGTTTTTTCTGGATTTTTGGTTGATGTTCTGTCTCTATCCTTTAAAATACACTTATGATAAAAATGATAGACCTTTCATTTCTTTGTAAGTGGGCAAACTTACAAAATCTGCAGGGGATCAAACAATTATTTTCCTCACTTTAAATAGGTATATAGACACGCACGCACGCACGCACGCACGCACGCACGCACGCACGCACGCACGCACACACACCTAATTGTATGTGATAACACACTTTACGCACTTCTTGTGCCACCTTGTGGTGACATAGCCACACTGCATCTTAGGGGAACAAACTTATTTATTTATTATTGATTGGTATTTAGATAGCGCTGACAATTTACGCAGCGCTGTACATAGTGCACATTCACCTCAGTCCGTGTCCTCAAGGAGCTTACAATCTACTTGCAGATAGTGACTTGGCCAGGATTCAAACCAGGGACCCCCAGTGCTGCAAGGCACTGTGCTGCCCGCACTTTTATATTGGTACACCATGATGCATTTCTACTGGACTAATACGGCTTACCCATTTATATTGCACTATATATATATAGATATAGATATCTATATGTATATAGATATAGATATCTATATACACATATAGATATCTATATCTATATAGATATATAGATATATGAGCTAATGGCAGGAAGTACTGTGTTAAAGTCCAGTCATGTGTATGGTGGTTAAACAAAGACACTAAGTGCAAAGTAGTAATCACTGTACTTGTCAGAAAATAATGTAGTGTGAGCAGCATTTAGAACTGTCATGCTCTGCAGAGCTTTATGTTATGTGCACAATGTGTGCCATACAGAAGCCCTTTCTAAGACATAATGCGCCCCCAATTATTGGCTGAAATTTATCTCACTAACTAAGTTTACGTAACCCAACCTATGAGATGTTTGACTTTGATGCCTGATGTCATTCATTTCCTGGGAAATTTCCACTGTCAAAAATGTGTGGATATTAGTTATGATTAAACCTGCTCAGTCTGGAACGAATCGTTAACCATGTAAATCTGTTCCTACATTGCTAGATACTAGTGCAGATGCAAATATTGTTTATCAGAGTTCTTTAAAGATTGTTTCTGTATTGTAATTTGATCTTTACTGATCACTGAAGAAGTAGATTATCAGTTCATGTACTAAGCCAGGCCCTCTAATGTTCTGGTTTAACTTGTGCAATTTGATCATAGTTATGGTGTGCCTTTTACTCTACTGAATACTGTGTAATTAGGTTCTTGATCCCAACTCTGACCTCTCTCCTGATCTGAACTGATTTGATGACTATAGATTTTTATTTTCTGTACATGCAGGTCTCTTTCTAGAACATTCAACACACACTTTTCCAGATCTCATACGACTTGTTTCCTACTACAGTTGTGAGAGGTAATTGTAATACAAATCTTCTCCTTATGGCGTTAATGTGTTAGTTCAAGTGTATAAACCATAACAATTCAATTCTCTTATTTGCTCCCTTTTGGTCTGCTAAATATACTATCAAAAGTGTTTTGTTATATCTGTATTATAAGTGCATTTTTTAAGTCGTCAAAAATCATGTGAGTTGATAACTTCTGTACTTTCTGCTTGTGTACAAGGAAGGCTTATGGAGATGAGAATGAGTTGACAAGATGAGAGGTTGACAAGATGAGAGGTTGTGTTCTTTGTAATTAATCAGAAATTAAGTAGGCAGGGCTGGCACCATGTACTTTGGAATTCAGAGGCAAAAATATACTCCTTGGAATTCATAAAGAGTTTCAAAGACACTTATATGAATTCTGGGGTCTGTCAGTGCAACAAATGTCGAAACTTGTGACAGTCTTATGTACCTGTCAGAAAGAAGTACATGAATCTGTTGCCATGGATGAATGGTGGGGGCTGGCCTCCGTAACATATCTGGGCCATGTCCATATTTCGGCAATGGTGTCAGCCAGCATCCAATTTCCTTAGCTTCCATTCAGCTGTTGGCCAGGGAAATCTCCTGGCCAGCAGCTGAATAGGGCTGGGGATGCGTCATTAGTTGTTAGGATGCCGGCAGCCTCTCATGTCCTTGCCCCTCTCTGACCACTGCCATCTCTCTGTATGCCATAGCAGAGTTGGTCCTAATTATTGGCAGTTTCCTAATCTGTAAATTGGCTAGAATGTTTTTAGAATAAGTTTAGAATTTTTAGATATAAATTAGTTGGAATTTTTTTGAATTTGTTGCTGCCATAGTGACAGGTTCTTAAATTGGTGGTAATAAAAACTACCTAAATCTGTTGCATGTGTTGAAACTGCAGCCAAAATGGTCTCAGTGCTTTCATGATATAGGTGCAGGTTATCAACAGTTATTTTATTACTTGCAGTGTGTATAAAGGAATGCAATATTGGGAAATATACATGTACTGCAGAGATGTAGAAAATACTCTTTTTTTTTTTTATTGTGCCTTGACATACACATTAAGATCTTTCCAGGTTTGGGCTGCTTTGAGGGTATATTTATAAAACAGTAAATGTGACATTGATCAATTCACTGCATGTAAATCTTCCTGGTGCATTTGTTTAAAATTCAAGCATTTGATTCACCTGCAGTAAATGGTTGGAGCATGTCACATTATCTGCTTTATAAATATGCACCTATATAGGGTATCACTATGATTACTTTTTGCCGGTGGCATTCTGCCAATGCCAGCTAGAGGAGACTTTTTTTTATTAAAAAAAAAAAGAAATCACAAAATTAAGTGTAAAAGCTAAGTACAAGGGTGACCAAAATCTTCTTTCCACATATGCAGAGTTTTTTCCTTTTATGCCCTTGTTATGGGGTGCACACATCCTGAAATGTTTAGAGCTATGAGAAGTACTGCCTTCAAAAAGGTTGGACACACAAAACAGCCATTTTCACTCACCAATTTTAATTTATGTGCAGAAGAAAAAAAAACTGTGACTGCATATTCCGTGTGAAAATCTTAATTTGCTAAAGGCTGGGGATAGGGGAGTCAGGCAGGTATGTGGGAAGCAAATACCGTTACTACTGCATATAGCCTAAGAAGCTTTACCCTATAGAAAACCCAGTGGGTGCACTGTACATCCCAATGGAAATTCAGAATGTAGAGCATAGGGAATGTTACCTCCTGTATTTTCACCAGACACGATAATGGTTGGAGTTTGTGTTTTGTTGCAGCTCTAGTGTAGAGATGAAAACATGTAGGACAGCTTAACTCTAAACGTGACCCTGATCTTTAGGTGTCAATCTATCATTATAAATGTAATTCAACACAAAAAATAAACCCCAGACTTGTCCAATCAAGTACTTCATCCCCTGATTACAGTAGAAACTCACACCAAAAATTTGTGGGGTTTAAAGAGGCATACCACCATTGCATACGCTCATATCAAAATGATTTTATTTTAAAAATTCAAGTAAAAAACATATCCAATAAACAATTATTTTAAAAACATATGTTGAAAAACTCCCTATTTTCAATTTGCCTGATATCTAGCGCAGCCATATTACAGACATATACCAATATGTAACCATGTATATTTTATATAGATTATCTTCATTACTCTTTCAATCATCAACACGGTAGATTTCAAATGACTTGCTTTTACAGGTCTGTGTCCCAATGCATTTCGCTATAGCGCTTCCTCTGGGGACCAAGGGTGACTAATTGAATACAAATATATATAATTACTCACACGTCAGCGCATTATTTACTTGGAAACATAACTCAACATTAAACTTGAAACTTAGAAAGAACTTAACATTTGCGCTGCTACTTATCCGACACTAGGTGTCAGGGGCGAATCTGGATCCTTACATACAAGGGAAGGGCGATACCCACATGTCCTCCCCTTGGCTGATGGATATGTTTTTAATATGAATTTCAAAAATAAAATCATTGATATGAGCTTATGCAATGGTGGTATGCCTCTTTAAACCCCACCATTTTTTGTTGTGAGTTTACAAATGTAATGTAAAGCAAAAGCAAGTACTTTTTCCATTTAAATGTGTCTATTAACCTATATACAGTAATATGATTTCACTATCCAATTTAACCATATTAAGCTGCACTTTCAAGTAATTTTCTTTTTCTACATTTGCTGTTCTCAGCATTGCTACATTTGTGTTGTATCTTGCATGTAACTTGGGTCCTTATTTTTCAGGGATGTTCTACCTTATACACTAAGACTTCCTGCAGCTATAGAAAAAGTGACTTCAAAAAAAGAGCTGGAGGCTATTTCCAATCTAGGACATGGTAAATAAGTTATATTTTGTAATGCACATATACATATAGTCTTGATTACAATGAAAAAAAGGTCATGTAAAGCAGCTGGACTGGTGTTATTTTATGTCATCCCTATGCTAACTCTATACCTCATATTACTCAGTCTAGCTGGAACTGTTAATACAGCTCTGTTAATGTATTGTAAACTTGTGAAACTTTTTTCACAAGTTTTGATTATTATTATTTTTTTTTAGAATTTTTTATATTAATTATAGTATAAAAAATATATTTATATAT